AATATAATGTGCTTAAAATAATAACACAAAAACAATTCTGATCCTTCATGTCTTTATTGAACACATTCAACATTCAAAATGCTAGTGGAAAAAGTGTTTTTTTTGCAACTGTAAGAATGAAGGTCTCTGTAGATTATCTCTGTACATTGCTTAGATGCTGCACTGTTAATCGCTTGATCAGCTCCTTGCATTTCAATCTTAAAACTGTGCCAGCCTGTTAACTCCCCTGCATGCAATTTCTGGTGCCTGTAGCTAACAGTGAGTGCTTGAGCCTTTAGTGTGTCTAATTTGCTAAGTTGATTCCTTTTTTTAGGTCAGGCTAAGTTGATTGATCTAGAGCCTTACAAAAGAATAAATGTGATTTTAATGAATATTTTATAGCAAGAAGGAGGCATAGCTTCTGCCTTTGCCCAACCATCAAACAAAGGATGTTTTCACACAAGAATGTTAAGATCTTTGGTCCTCAACATAGCATACAGAGTGCAAATGCAAGTGGCAGGAGTACGAAATGTCCCATGCTGTTATCTAGTGTGCTCCCTAGCTGACCACAGTTTAGATTATTTATAATCTCCAAAAAATCAGAACCTATCATTATTCACAGCAAAATTCCAATCTCAGGCATTCTCTTCATTTTCCAGTTATGTTTCTCAGCCTCACATAGATGAAAGTGGCTGCCTGTACCCCAGTATGAAAGTGTGTCCTCTTATCCAGAAAAGGTAAGCAGTGCAGGCTGTGGTAGAAATCACCTGCGGACTCTAGTGGTGGTGGTAAAGAACAGCCTCACCACTTCACCTGCCGGTAAGTGGGCATTCTGTGATTAGCCAGCACTCACAAGCCAACCCATTTTTAACCTTCTCACAAGATTACAAATGTGCTGATTGGCCTCAGATGGTTGAGGAACTCAGCTTAAGACTAAGGCATTTATTTAGTCTTTGACTATAAATTCAATAAAATAGACTAAAGCATGAACCAGCCATATAGAATTGGAAAAGCTAAAACAAGTCTGTTTATGGTTAACAGAGAAAATGCAAATTACAGTTTTATTAATGTATGTTTATTTTACACATTTTGTGCTTATTTCACTAAAATTATTATCCTGAGTTTTACAATTAAAATGGAGTCACAATTGTTTTGGAAAATGCATCTTAGATTAAAATTATTTTGGAAAATATATTACACTCTGAATAAATTACAAATGAAATTATTTTAAAGTGCACAAACTTCACAGAATCATAAAGTTGCAAGGACCATTCAGACCACAGAGTCCAACCCCTTGTTCAGTACAGCAGGGTTCCTCAACCTTGGCCACTTGAAGATGTGTGGACTTCAACTCCCAGAATTCCCCAGCCAGCATGGGGAAATGGTCAAGGTTGAGGAACACTGCAGTACAGGAATTCAGTAGGCACCCAGCTTCTGCTTGAAGGAAAGTTTAAACTTACTAACTGGCCCCATCGTTCAACTGCTCTAACTACTGTAGTAGAAAATTGTCTCACCATTCAACAGGAATCCGAATTCCTGTAACTTTGATCATTTATTTCATGCCTAGCATTCTGGGATGACAAACAGATCTTGATTTTCTGTGTAACATCCTTCAGGTACTTGAAAAGTGCAATTATATCTGCTTCCCCGCTGCCGCCCCCCCGCCCCCCGTTAACATACTCACTTCTTTCCATTTCCATCTCACCTCTTAAGCTTATTTTCCAATTTCCTGATTATGCTACCTTCACTGCCCTTCTCTGCATCTCTTCCATATTCTCTGAATTTGTTTTATCCCCGGGCACAAGGGGTATTCAAGGTGGAGTCTTGCAAACACAGAATATACTAGAGCTATTTTTTCCTGAGCTGAAAACTAGATTTCTATGGATGCAACATGAAATTACATTTGCCTTTTTAGCAACTGCACCACACTGCTGACTCATATTCAGCTTTTGATCAATTACAATTTGAACTTCATATAAATATATATAAGACCATTTATCTTTAGAAACAATTTAAAATGTGAGTAAGTGAATAGGTTTTTATCACATTGTTTGGTAATACATGTGCACTTAAGAGCTGAGTGTCACTTATCCTACTCTTAAAGGTTATTTGAAAACTGAGCACCCTAGATTTTTTTCCTGATATGTCAAATGTGGCACAGTCTTAATGAAGTCTATTGAACAAACTTGGTAGGTGAATGGATCTCTTAAAATGAAGCCAGTAATTCTAGACAGGCAGAGTACGATTTGAAGAAACTGTATTAATTTTTACAAAGCCACAGAATTAAAAACATACAGACAGCACACCTTAGTCTTTTCCAAGCGTTTAGAACTGGCAAGCTCATAAAGTACATGAACAAAGATAAAGTTGTGGTTTCTAATTTAAATGAGGCAAATTAATACTAAATTCATATGTTTGTCTATATTAAGGATATGCAATTAACATGAAGTTTATTTAGCCTGCTTGTACTAATATCGATTACATGTATTAAATGAAGTTTTGTTCACCAATGGACAAGTCAGTAGATTCCTGCTTAAATTAACAGAGGCTAGAAGTGTACACCTGTGCTACATGTTTGTACAAAAAATGTGTCTGAATTTTGAGTGCTAAATATACTATGCTTCCTAATATTTTTTATACAGAATTGTAAAAAGCAACTAAGCCTTAAATGTTGATCTATAAGCTTATAAACTTATAAGATAATTTAATAGCACCTGATTTATAAAGTGGAACTTTAAAATTTTTAAATAAAATCCAAATTCTTTCACTTTTCCTCCCTCTGTAAGAGTTGTGAAGATAATAGCCATTATCATCATGTTATTCAAAGAGCAACTGACTTTTAAAAGTGCTTGACACCCCTAAACAAAGAACTGTATGGTTATCAGCTTTAAAAAGTCAACTTCATACATTCTTTAAAATATGAGACTGCTATTTGAAATTAAAATGGTGCATTAGCTAGTGCAAAATCATATACAATGTATATAATTTATAATTATATTAACTTTTATATAATTATATAATTTATACACAATACATAAGGTCCAAGTGACATATTTTACTCTAAGTTTTTGTACCATAACAATGATCAAACTGTCTTTATTGTGTTCATTTGAAAAATGATTCTATAGTGCACCTAGAATTGCTTGACTTGGCTTTTTTGGATGTTGAGTGGGAAATCACTGTTCCAGATCTGGAAAGGAACAAAAATGCATATTAATAATTAAACAGCCATAACAACAGAATGGTTGACAGGGATATGTTCTAAATATTCAAATAAAAATTCAGAGCTTACCTTTTTGTTCCTACTGAAGAGTTTGTATTATATTGTCCTCTATCCAAGATTTCTGGAAAAAAATACTCAAGTTTTTAAACTGAAAGCAAAAATGTATTCTATCAGAATTATGAATAACAAAAACATCTACTAATATTTTCTTTTCCTCCTTCACTGAAACTATCATTATATCTCCTATATGACCCATGACTTTTCTATAGCTACCCTGTTCTCTCACCCTATTTATATCATTTTTGCCTTTGAGAAGGAAAAATAAATATTTGCAATTTTTAACAATTAAGCAGAAATTGTCTATTCTTCCAACGAAAAGTAACAAACAACAGACTGTTGCATAGCTTCTGCATAATCTGTGAATAACGAGCTTAGTAGCAGTTATTTTTCCTGCATTTAAAAACTAATTCATTACAATTTACAAAATTCCTTTTATTTATTTACAGAAAGAAATATCAGCCTCTTTCTATGCAAAATGGAGGAACAGCCAACTCCTTTATTGAAACATATATAAATTTGTGTTCTGCACTTCATTTAAAGTTCCAAAAAGATGCCTCTATAAACCTTTATTTAAATTACTGGTAAAATACTCACCCGTACTTGAATTTTCTGTCAACTGCTTGATAATGCCTTTGTTTAAACAAACATCCACATGCCTGTTGAACAATGCAAGATCCATTGTTTTTTGCTGTATGTTGCAAACTGGACAAACTAAAACATTTTCAGTAATGTCAGAAAAACTTTGCACATTGCTTCCTGGGCAACTTGACTCTTTTTCTATTAATAAGGCTTTAGAAGATAAATCATCTCTAGCGTGCATTTCAGGTATAGAGGCATTAGAAGGACCACATCCATTCTCATTCTGTTTATAAACTAGGAGCTTAGGTAGTACATCTGTGCTACTTGCAGGAACACAATCAGCTGTATTTGTTGACTGCTCTTCCACTGATGGTTTACTTATTTTAACTTTTATCCTTTCTTCTTTTTCCCTATCCACATGCAGATCATTTTCCCCAGATTTGCCAGTATCGGTAATTTCTGCATTTTCTTTTTCTATTGTTCCACTAAGGCACATATCTATATGCCTATTAAATGCTTCTAAAGTGCCATCATGCTGCTCTTCAAAGCAAATAGGGCAAATAAAGATCTGATGTTCATAATTCTTTCCTTGTTCACCTGAAGTTATTGTTGACATCAGATCTTGTAGATTCTGCTTGTCTGAAGACTCATTTAAAAAAATTCCTTTATTGGTTTGCTGTCTTGTAGCTCTCTTTTTATTGAAAAAGCTTTCTCCTTCAGATACTTTTGGGAAAATGTTGACAGTTTTCTTAAAAGCACCGGCTTGCTTTCCTGGTTCTAAGAAATTAACAATGCTCTTCTGCTGATATTTTTTTTCTTCTTCAGTTAAAAAACTTGATATTCTTACACCTGAATATGACAGACAAACCACAAAAAGGTAAATGGTCATAAAGAGTTGTTTAAAAATATAATCAAAACAACTTATACTGAACTGTAGTCTGTTTCAAGCAGACATATATAGGAATGCACAGTAAATTCACTTAATTCCTACTTAAATCAATACAGACTAGACATGGGTCAACTAACTTTTCAGACTTCTGCCTGGAGTTCTCTTGCACATACTGGTTTCAACCCAGCTTTAACTTATACAGCAGAGCTGAACTTCCCTTCTCCTTCCACTTCACAGATCCCCTTGGAGGCATCATCCAGGTCCTGTCCCATCCCATCTCCTAGTAGGCATGGTCTGGGTTCCATCCATTAAGACATCTGGTGGACCCAGGAAGCATGCCTTGTCTGTTATAGAGCCTGTCTCTGCAACACCATACCTCCTGAGATTCACTTGGCCCTGACTCTGCTGGCATTTTCTAAGTCCCTGAAGACTTGGATGTTCCCTCAGGTGAGCTTGTTGTATGATTGTTTGTTGATATTAATGTGGTTATATGGTCTGGGTTGGACTGTCTGCAGGTGCCATTGTATTATTATTACTATTAATTTTTGTTGTTGCTTTTAATCCTATGTTCACCTCCAAAGTCACGGTTGTGAGATAGACAGCTATATAGATTTAAATAAATACATAAATAATCTAGATGTACATAGATTATTACATAGGTTGCTTTACTATGATCCTACTACCCCTACTACCCTAGAAGAATAATGATGGTGAGGAGACACACAGAAATGCAGTTTTACCCATTCAGTTTCACATGCTTAAATCTTGGGTGCAAAACTGTGGCAGTGAGGCACCAAGTGAGGCACCAAATGTCCTTTTTACCTGTGGAAAGTGTTTTTTGAAAGGGACAGTAAAAGAATCATATTTTAAACATATATTTTAACAAATAGTGAAGAAATGTTGATTTGAGAAATTTTTCAATAACCAGAAAACTATAAAAGTATAACAATAGTGTATAACAAAGTTTAATAACAATAGTACAATGATGAAAGCTGTCTTTTCATTGAAACAACGAGGAATAACTAACAGTAGTTAATTGCCACAAACCAGGAATCAGCATAAATATGTGAAAGTGATATTTACCCATTAATCTTAAATGTAAAGGTTCTGGGGCCACTCTCTCCATTTCTGCTTTAAGCAAATCTTTAGCAATAGCAAATATTTCTTCTTCAGTAGAAACTGCAGAAAGTACTGTATTAGCTCTTGTTTTCACTTCAAAGTTCACATTCTTCAACTTTAAAGTTACAGTTCTAGCCTATTAAAAACAATAGACAATTTTTCTGAAGCTGCCATATTCTGAGACATAGAAGGAGCTTAATAATAAGATATATACATTCTCTGTAGTATTTTATTTTTTACAAATAACTGTATCTTATTTCCATTATGCTTTTATATTTAAGACTGTTAAGTAACTGATTATTTTAATGTTTTGTTCAATTCAAATCTTACAAAAATTATCTGCACTCTGATTCTTCATATGCAACCATGTCCAAAAAATGAAAGCCACAGCAAGGTCTATATAAATAGGAACAGACTTAATTTTTAATGCTCAAGTAGAGTTTTAGGTCAAAACAGAAAAAAAAGGGAGTCTGCAAGGTTTTTTTTCCAGGTGGGAAGTGAACTCCCAAGGGAATTATTGGAATTTGTGGACTGCTGCACCCTTTTTCTTCCATTTATGTTTAGTTGCTTATTATCATATTGCAAGACAGAAATATAGGACAGCAGTCCTAAGAAATATAAGATTTTTTGGCAACACCAATTTTTTTTTCATAAGTTTCATGATTCAAGAAAAAAAGTTTCCATGTTCTTGCACAGAAACATGGAAAGTTGCTATAAACTGAGTCAAACCATTGCTCCATTTAGCATTTCCTGGTAATTTCAGTGAAATATTTTGTACCTTTGTCTGAAAAAGTTAGGAATTAAACCTGGAATTCAACATGAAAAGCCAAACTTCTACCACTAATCTATAGCCCTGTCCTCCTGGTGGGAGGTATCTTGTAGTAAAGGTGAAGAGAGAGGTCACTTCACTTTTACCCTGTTAATCAGCCACCTTTTTCATCAATTAATGTAATAACAACTTTCATACTATTTGAATTATAAACTGCGTGATATGGAACTGTAGATTTTATGTCTGGTTGCACATTTAACAAAGTGTAATGGAATCAGGTAACAGGTTTCTCCTTTCTATTAGTTCTGATAAGGAGGCAGCCTAGATATCAAGTATATCAAGAAGTGACCTCAAGAAACTTGAATGAAACTTATATAACACCCTACCCCTTGATTTTCAATGAGGAAGCTGGAACCCAAAATAAAAAACTATGTTTAGTTTTATTATTGCCAGCATAACAATATATGAATGCATGCATGAATTAGGAGGGAAAGGTAGAGTCGAAAATGTAAATTAAATTAAATTAATTTTTCCAGGCTTCGCTGCCCATTGCTAGGTTTTGTTTTCTAAATAGCTAACATATTATAGATATTTCACACAGTCCTTTACAATTCCCAAGAATTTCTGAATAACCCCATGCTCTATCACCTTGGCAAAATCACTGAAATCTCACAAGATTTCATTGTGAATATACAAAGTTCTAATGAGATTTTAGTAGAATGAAGATGCCTCTTGGAGATCCAGCAAGTACAGTTTTGCCAATCTTATTATAAACTCAGATGTAATGTATTAGTCAAGAAGGTCATACACACTGGTTACAACAATATCAATGCTTAAAACTTTTTCATGGAAGAAAACCCCATTTTTATATCAATAATTTCATAAGAGACTTATAAAATTTTAAAGGGAGAGAGGAGAAAAAAGACACAGGATATAACCCAAACAAATAAATATGCCTATGAATATTTATACCATATCAATCTATTTCCGATCATTTTCTGAATACAGCTCAAAGCCCTTTCAAGTTGGTAGAATTATCTTTATCATCCTGAACCACCTGCCACCAATTATCCCTGCTAGGCCCATGAGATCCAGCACAGTGGGCATGCTTTGGGCCCCTTCCATGAAACAGTATCCCTGGTAGAACCCAGGAGGCATGTCTTCTCTGTCACAGCACCTGCTCTGTGGAACAAAATCTTTGTGAAATTGAGATGGCCCCTTCTGTCCTTCCATGATGCTCTGAAAACCTGGTTCTTCTCTTGGGCACTGAGCCAGAATGTAGGATGATCCTTCTAGAATGAAAGATCTTTGTCAAACCCAATGAGGCAGGCAAACACAGGAAACAACCACCAAGTGGATTTCTGGAAAAAGAATATTGCTAGTAGGTTAATGTAGCAGCATCTTGAAAGCCTAATTCTCTCACATAACTTATACCTAGTATAATAAAGACAGTCACTCTGTTTCTCACTCTTCCCCCTGCCCCTGGACTCACAAATCTCTTCTGTAACAGTCCTGTTTCCCTCTTTAACTGTCTTGCTGCCCCCTTTGTGTTCCCAAGGTCTGTTAAATGTTCCATCATATTCTTGAAAGATGTATGTGTTGCTGGTCTCAGTTAATTCTGCTATTTTTGTTATTTCTGTTATTCTGTTCTCTTTTCTGTTTTGATGCTTCTATAAACTGTAAGTCACCCGGAGTTGCTTTTTGCAAATTAGGCAGCCATATAAATAAACATTTCTCCTTGTTGCTGAAATGTCAAAATTAGGAAGTGTGAAGGAGGAATAACGGTCATCTTCTAGATGTTCTGTGTTTGGCCAGACTTTTACCAAAGACAACCCATAACTGTCCTTTTCTTTTATTAATTACCCCTTTTACTGCAGCTTTTTATCTGTTTGATGCATTCATTTTTTATTATGTCTGAGAACCTGTAAGGCACAGTGGTCAAGGCTGTTGGGCAAGAAATGGGAAAACTCAGGTTGAATTTCACTCTCAGCCACAGAAACTCACTGAATGACTTGTGCCAGTCACACACTCTTAGTCCACAGCATATTGTTGTGGAGATAACACACAAGTGAACTTTTCACTCCTGAAGGAAAGGGAGTATATAAATCTAACAAATCATCATCATCAACATAAATTCTGTCCCAACTAAATTCCTATTACCAAGAGGAATACAGACAAATGAAAAGTATTTCCCACCAAAACAATACACCAATAAACACAGAAGATGAGACTACAGTACTAATAAATACGAGGATTAAAAAGATATAAAATTACCTACTTTAAGTCCTTCCTTTTTCAAATCCTGAGCAAGGTCACTGCAGAGTTCTTGACATAACGTATATTGTTCTGACGCACTTATTTCATTAAATGTCCTGCCACAAGAGGGGAAAAAAATCTCAGCATGTCCTGTTCAAAGAAAATTTAAGCTAAGAAGAAAACCTTTGCAAAATCTATTGAACAATACCTAATAATAACAACAGCTATTTAATTTCACTGTGGCACTAAAATTAATGTTTCAGTTTATAACAGATCCTATATATCTACTATACAAAAATCAATAGCCACAATATGATTTTCTGTGCCTGTTATATAAAATATCAAAAGGAAGCGATGCTTTAGAACTAATGTAACCGTCCAGCATCAATTTAACAGTGGATGTCAAATTTAGAATTGGATCAAGACTAGTTGTCTCATTTACTTTGCACTAAAGTTAAGTTAGACATTACAATGATTTCAATGGGATCGAATTATAACAAATTTAGTCTGGATCCGATTCAAAACTTTAATTTACTTTTCATTTATTAAAAAAATCCCATTAATGACTTTGATTTAAAAAATAGCATAAAGAAAAATAAATTTTGGTTCTTTGGAGATCCAACATTTAATTCTATTTAAGGAATTATTCATTGAATAAAGTTCTGCTCATAAAGCTTACTAGCAGAAAGGGGGTTGGGTTGAGAGGATGCTCACAATTTCTTAATATCATCTCCTCCACAGTTTCAGAAGATTACCTAACATTCTTCAGCAGATTTTCAAAGGGTATAGGCAGCTTAATAAGGAAGAAGAATCAATGAAAATCAGATCTTCTCTGTTGGATCAGTTGAAATGTTCTCTTGGATCAGATGGTTTTCATCTAGGCATGGAGGAAAAACTCTATTTTTCCTTAGGTTTTCTTGGCACAGTCACAATAATTATGTTTGGTATTACTGATCTAATAGAAAAAATAATTTTCTATAAGAATGTCTCAAAAGAGGCTCAATTATGCTAGAATTACATAATTTTTATCTCCAAAGAACCAGTATCTCTTTCACATTATGGGAAATGTGTATTTGTGCCAGTATGTGCATGAATTGTTTTTGCAGAATTAGTGACTGGCAACTATTTATTCCCTTTAATTTTAGCTATTTTTATGTTTTTTTCTAGTTTTGTATGCCACTGGAGTAGGATGGTCGATAAATTTAAACAAACAAACAAATAAGCTAAGCCATAATTCAGGTAACTCCAAACACTATTTGGCAAAAATGTTGGCATTGTGCTGGTATTGCCTGCATTGTGGGGGAAAAAATTCACATTTATAGTACTTTTAAATACATTCAAGGGGTGAGATGTTTTCACTTGATATACTTTTGAGTACATACCTTTCTGTACTCATGCTTTTTCTTTCCCCATCCCTTAAAAAAAAAAAAAAGAATGTTCAAGAGTGCTCAATTTCAAAGGTTAGCTCCCAATAAAATGTCAAATTTTATGATCAGACACACGTCCACACAGCAAGAAACATAAAGTAATGAAAAAATAATTATTAAAATCAGACAAAAAATAGTTATCTGAAAAGCAGGGTAAAATAAAAGTAAGAAATATTAATAAATGTCATCATTTTCTATAAGTGTTCAATATCACCGTGTCCTTATTAGAAAGTTTATATTTTGTTAGAACACAAGGGCACTAAACTTACTAACAATCTGAAATATATTTTTCAATAATGAAACTGAACTATTTTACTGAAATTTAATTTTTTTAAAGTTACAAATATATGTGGTCTAGTTTACACTCGGGGATCTTAGAAGCAGAGTTGGGGCAAAACTCTAAGTTTCTGCAATGCTACTAGGAATTGGAGTAAATACAAGGCTAGATTAAACATATGCTTGAATAAGTCCATTCATTAATTTCATGTGAACAACAAGTAAAATAAGGATAAAATACCTTTCCAAACATGTGGAACCCAAACCAAGAGAGATTTCAAGGAAATTATGGCAGGAAGTTTCAGAAAACAGAAGAGAAATCAGAGCCCTCTGCTTATACAATTCTGTGCAAGTCACTATTTCCAAAGCTTTCAGCATTTTCTCTGTTACCTTTCCTATGCCTGGCACCTAAATGAGAATGAATTATATACCAGTGAAACAGGAAGTTTCCAGTAACTCAATGAAATCTTAATTTTAACATTTCCTTTGGAAATGGAAATTCTTTATCAGTTACACACACACACACACACACACACACCATTATCAACAATTATTAATTATCACCTTGGAAAATGAGCATTTTTTTAAAGAAATCAAAAGAGTTACATGGCTTAGTAGAGTGCTGCCTCATAACTGGTGAACTTGCTATATTGTTCTGCACTGACATCCAGACAATTTCTTTATTTCAGTTAGATGGACCAGATAAGTTATAAAACATATGCTTTCAAATATTAAGAACGTTTATCATCTATAAATTCTCTATACTTTTATTATAGTCAACCAATACATCTCTAAGAAGTGAATAAGCTTTCAGGTTCATCATAACTCATCTTCAGACTGGACATAAAACAAAACAAAAACAGTAAGAAAAAAATACTTCCAAAAGTAGACATTTGTATAGCGATTTAACAAGCATAGTGGCAAGAAAATACAGTCCCAGGAGAAAAGGACATCAGCATTATAAGCTTGAACCAAGAAAGAAATCAAACAGAAATGTGGGGCATAATTCCTTTATAAGCAAACACAGCTTTCTCACTATGATTTTAACTATTTAGTACTTCCTATTATGCTGGCTGGGAAATTCTGGGTTGAGAAACACTGCACTTATGGATATTTTTTATTTCTAATATACTACACTAATGCTTGATCAATTTCTCTCTTTTCCTTCTTTCAAAAAGTTGCTTTTGAAAAATTTAGGGACACAAATCAAAAGAACTATTAATGACACAGATATCAAGAGTTAAAATACTAATTGCTTCAGCTACTACTTGGCTGAAGTTCTAAAAGCACCATATAGGTAACGTTAAATAAAAACATCAGATTCTTAAAATTATGAGATATCATTACATTAAAAAAGTAATCGTATTATGCTCAAACATTCAACCTATCAAGTAATCATATTTTGATATAATTTATTTTTCTAACGCAAATGCATAAAAAAGCAAACAAAAAAGAAATGGTCAAAAGACATTCACACAAACATATTTCACCTTGCAAACCAAATATTTAAAAAAATGTTGGATGAGAATCCTATTTTCCAATAACAATAGTATAATAACAGAGTATATACAACATCATCCCAAGCAGAGGTCCTCACCTAAAAAAAAAATAATAATAACAGGAAAAGAAAGATGGCATGTATGTCCCCTCAGAGATTGAGAAGTATTTGCTTAAACTTGATATATCAACATTCCCCTTTTTCAAGACTGGTGTATAGAAAATAGAAGGAATACAAATGGGAAACCAAATAATATTATAATGTCAAGTCACCAATACATTTTTCATTTACCTAAAGTTTGCAGCTACATATCTAAGAAATGTAAGGTAATTATACAGTGCAGATTTCACATGGTTAGGTATTAGAGGGTATACATTTCAAGTAGATACAGAAGATAAAACAAGTTGGTAAGAAAACTTAGAGACTGAAAAGCAGCAGCAACTTCCCGAGCACAAACATGCATAAAAGTAATAACACTAAATAAATCAAGATTTCTCACCTTTCTAATAGCTAAATTTTTCATGAAGTCCATCACAGCTTCTCTTTCTGGAGGGATTCTATATTGGCCATTAGGTTTATTTTTATCACTGCACATTTTTGCCAACATCATATTTGGAGCAATGCCTACAATTAAATGAAAAAAAAAATTCAAATAAGAACAAAATAGAATTATTACCTTCCAGCTTCAACTACCTATTATATAAGAGATAAAGTAATCCAGATTTGAGATGAAAGTTGGATATAAAGAATACTTTTGTGGCAGGAACATGGGTGCCATCAGAACACAGACACTAAGACCCATTCTTAAAGTGGCTCCATGATGGGTGCCATCCCACACAAATGCTGTTTCACAGGGAGATAAGGCTAAAAATATAACACTTTTTAGTTAGGCAAAGGAAAGTATAGACTAGGTTACCAGACTATCATACCTACATCTCATGCAGTATTCCATACTGGTCAGTTCTGTCATATTTTGGCCAGTATGCCACAAGCACAACCAATACCTAGTTTTACCTCAAGTATGCTCACAAAAGTCTACATAAGCCAGGATCTTTAGACAAGAAACTTTCCAAGCCAACATTGTGTTGCCTGCATCCTATCAACTATTAGGTATACGCAGTGAATGAATGTGGATTAAATAAAAAAATGAGTGACCAGTATGAAAGGAGTAAAATGAGGTGGTTTGATCATACAGGCCTGAGTTTTTCAAACCTGGTAACTTTAAAATGTGTGGATTTCAACACAAAACACTGATACAGACAGTATGAGGAGTGAAGTGCAAAACAAATATATGAAGGAAAACTGAATGAGCTGAAACAAGTGGATGATTGAAACAACTGTTCTTGGATTGAGTTGATAAGATTCTCATAAAAGGAAAATTAGAAGTTTAAAGAACAAAAAGCAATATATGAATCAGTGCATGGATGTGGTAAAAGCAAGGTTTGTTTGCAAGGACAGAAAATATTGAAAGGGATAGTGGTGTAAATTTGTTGTAAATTTGTATCTTCCCTTCCAATTTCAGACACCCCCCCCCAATCTAGTCCAGCAGTCTGTTCTCACAGTGACCAAGCAACTGCATAAGGAAGCCCACTAGTCTCCTATTGTATGACCTTCAGCGGTAGTCACCCTGCCATCAAGGCTAATAGCCATTGATCCCCATGACTTCCATGAATTGGTCCAACCCATTTTTGAAGCCAGCCAAGCTGGTAGCCAGCACCACGTGTTGTGATAGTGAACTAAAACATAAAGCTTAGTAAATGTAAAGTTTAATTACATGTTGTGTAAAAAATATTTGCTTTTGTTTGTCCTGATTCTTCCAGGATTCAATTTCATTGGATGACCTCTGGTTCTAGTATTTTGGGAA